ACATGAATCAAATATGCACTTTATTCATTTACAATAAATGTCATAAGTACATCAAACTGATTGGAGCTAAGGGCATACAAAACTGTCTAACAGTCATGAGCTAATTGAACATCTTTGATAGGAAACCCTTTTACTGATCCAGAGTCAATAGATCAAAAAACCTGCCAAAAAGATAAAGTCAATCGAGGCTCATTAATGCAATCCAATGAAATTAATTAAAGTAGTGTCACTATAGCAAGGAATTTGCACCATATAAATCCAACTGAACATGCCAGTTTTCAGCATCACCTTCCTTAGAAACCCACAAGATAGGATCATCATTTGCAATATATGGGGATGGGATAAGTATCCATGAAATTCTTTCCAATTTTATCAATGCATCATCATGCCAATGAGAAACCCTTTTGAAACATTTTCCAAATTCTGTCCATTCTGTTGCTTTCCTCTAGCGCTGCTCAAAGTTTTTAAGCACACCATATGCAGCAGGGCCTTCAATTTTGCAGTGCAAACCATGCCATGGTTTCCTTGGACCCTTAGTTTCTACCTATTATTGAGACAGCCAAAAGACAAATGATCCAGCTGACAAAAACTATTGGAATGAGATTATCATCAAATATTAAACTGCATAAACCCAGAAGTTCAAGACCAACTGTCTACATACACTATAATTGTAAATATAAAGTTCTTGATGGTGAATTGCACTTTCATTTGCAGGCATGGTGTTATATTATGATAAGATTATACACACAATTCAAATATTTTTTTTTTCCTAGAGACACTATTAACAGGCGACTGGAGGTGTAAAGCATAGTTCAAAACGCAAGAAGTGTAAACCTCCAGAGCACAAGGAGGTTTAAGCCTCCTTAAGAGGAGGAAGAGTTCTTGTTTTTCTTCTTTCCTTTTGATGAAAACTGACTTGAATTAATATAGAGGAAGCATAACCCAAATACCAGCTCGGGCTCAAGCTATAGCCCTTAAGCCCAACTTGTGGTCACCCCTACCACTAAATAGGTTGGATGTCWTATTTTCACTAAGGAATTATAAGTTAAAGTTTTCTGTGTTTACAATGTATAATATCAGTCAATTTAATTCATTTTGTTATAATATATAATATTCAATCATTTTAGCTTATTTTATTTATATTATTCAATATCTTATTGCAATCTGAATCCAGTTAAAATCTGATATAAATCTAACAAGTGAGGTTCAACTAAATCTGAATATAAAAGAATCGAATTTGGATCTACGTATCTCCTATTTGATCTGGTCCATTTGCAACACTGGTTAAATGAAAGTCCAAAAATAGGAAAAATGAATTGATCTACTCACAGGAAATGTTGGGTTATGATAATCATCCCGAAACACTGTGTCAAGATCATGAAACAGCCGATGCTCAGGCGTGTCATAGCGACCAACACAAAGATCAAGACCTCCTATAAAAGTAGTTATATTTCGGTTATTTCCAGATGCCTGTGTATCCAGCAGAACACATTTCTGATGATGTGTAAAAAGGGTCCCAACAACCTGGATGAAGACATTACAAAGTAATTTCAGCAAAAACA